TATTTGTAACCAGCCCCAAGATTAAGAATTAGAACTTTACTAGACCCCAGATTTGACTTGTATCTTTTTCTAGTCACTATTCTCCCTCTTGACTTATAGCACTGAATATTTGGAGTTACCTATTTTTGATCTTTATATAAATGTAATTATGCAGAACATAGAGTTTTGTGCCTGCCTTCTCTCATTTAGAAATTCATAGATTTTTTAAGATTCTCATTTTTAGATTCATAGATTTGTGTGTGTGTGTGTGTGGTGTAGTTCATTCATTTTCACTGCTGATTAACTTTCAGTTGTCTTTGCCTTATGAACAATCTTCTTATGATGTTCTTGGTATAGTTTCTTTGTAATTATTCTGCGTGGGATTCATAGCACTTCTCAAATCAATGGGTCAATGTCTTTTGTAAGTTTTGGAACATTTACAGCCAGTATCTCTTCAAATATTCTTTACCTCCCATTCTCTCTCTCTCTCTCTCTCTCTCTCTCTTTTCCCTTCTTCTAGGAGTCCAGTTACATACATATTAGACTGTTTTCACTTGTCCCACATTTTTTATGCTTTTCATTGTCTTTAATGTATCTTTCCTTCCCCCTGCCTTTGTTCATCATTTCGATATAGTCTGCTGACCTGGACGTATTCTATTCTGTTGAACAGTTTTCTGCTATGTCTAACATGCTGTTGATACCATTTAATAGGTCCCTAATTTCAGATATTTTATTTTTCAGTTCTAGAATTTCCATTTGATTCTCTTTAAAGGTTTAATTCAGTGTTAAAATTTTCCCTCTTTTATCTTCATTTCCCTCATTCTCATGAATATATTTGTCATAATTATTTTAGAACCTGTCCCTTAACTCTAACAATTAGATGATCTATGGACCTGAGTGGGTTTTTTTCTCCTTGTTGGTTTTCACGCACAGAGTTTTGTCTTTAGTGTGCCAAATAATTTTTGATTAAATGTCAAATATTATATATAAAAGCTGTGGGGGCTGCAGCTGATGTTATCTTTCTTTAGAGCGGGTTCACTCTTTTCTTTGGTAGACAAAAGTAGTGAAAGCTGATCACCTGAGCGAATCAAGGACGTGTCGCTTTGATGCTGCATTGTAGCTCTGATATGGCTTGGCCTATCACTGGTTCATCCTGAGTTTCCAGTTGAGTGGATAGAGAAGACTTTGTGGCCCCATTCTCCTGGCAGATCTCATATTCTTTTATTCTGTGAGGTTGATAAAATCCTCAAACTACTTTTCAGAGATTTTATGCTTTAGCTTTTAGCCTCCTACTCCGTGCAGCCCCAGAATCTGGTCATTCTTTTGAGGTAAAACCCAGCCATATACTTAAGCCTCCCTTCCAAATCTTTATCAGAAGCTCTTTTGGTTTTTCTGTTTCCTAGAAGTAACTCTCTATTAGTCCAAAACCCTAATTCTCAGTCTCCTGTTGAAGCCTAGAATGGGCAAAGGCTCCGTGGTAAAAGCAGCTGCAAAAGTCAGCTCACTCACTCAAGATTCTCTCCTCCCTGAAGTTTTAGACCCTCCAGTTCTTGGTGCCTCAGCAGCTCTCCAGTGTCTTCAAACAAATGATTTGTGTGTTTTATCACTTTCTCCCAATTGTTCTCCGTGAGAACTTTGGACTGCTAGAAGCCACTGAATTCCACCTGATAGGATCTGGTTTTTACTAACTGATTTATTCACTTTACTTTAAATACTGTATTATACAGATAACTTGGAAATTTACCTCTCTACTTTTGTAGTTTGTTATTGATAAGCTTTAACTATCAAAGGTCTTAATGTGTCCTTATAGTATATATAGAGATGTATATCACTTTGTGAAATAAAACATATTAGAAAAAGATTGTCATAAAATATGTAATCCTAATAAAATGCATTTAAAATTCTTAAACTTTATTAAATCAATATATTCTATGAAATCTTTAAAATTAACATTTCAATGTATAAAATATATATGTATTAAGAAAAAATTTTCAAAATCTTAGAAAAGTTTATCTGGCAGAATTGGGAGAGAGGGGAATAGGGAATATGTTGTGTGCTTTTTTCTCCTAATTTCTAATGTTATTTTATTTTTTAAATTTTTATCTGATTTACATTATATACTTGAATAATAAAATAGATTTTTTAGAACTTATGATAGATCTTACATTTTCTAATTTCTATCTATAGCTTTATTTCTTTGAGAAATCTCATGTATGCCTAATTCAACCACCAGTTATATAGGGATGGTTTCCAGCCCAGACAACACTGTTGGGCTCAAGACCTGTTCATAGAAAAGTCCCCAAGTTATTGTGACTTAAATGTCATATGGGTACTTCAGACTCAGCTTGCTGAAAGGATTTCTGCCCCATGACCCTCACTGCATCTGACATGCAGTAAGCACATACTATGTATTAACTGATTAAATGACATCCCCTCCTCTGCTCCAATTCAGAACCTTCTCCTTGCCAGCTGGTGGAGAATTCCTCAGGTTAGGTTTCCTATACTCTCATAATATCCTGTGCATAACTCTATCATAGCACTTATTATAGTATATTATACTATGGTAGACATTTGTCTGTCTCTTGTCTCTGAACATGAATTCCTTGAAACTACTATTACAGAGACAGTGTTTAACAAATATTTGAAGAAATGAAACTCTTGGAATATTTAACTGAAATTTTTAGGTTTAAAATTAAGATTTGCAAACCAAAGTATACAGATTTTGAGACATTTAATGAGAGCTTTCAAAAGGACATTAAACATACATATGTTTTGAATTCCTGCTAATTTTTTAACCAAAGTTCTTCAACAGATATTCATGGATAAGTGCCAGGCAGGGTCTTAAAAAAAGTGGTAATACATCAGTCAGCAAAACAGAAAATGACTGGTGCCTTCTGAAACCTGTAGTCTAGTGATAAGAGAAAACAGAAATTAAAAATAAATATAATAAATTTGTAAATTATATAATGAATTATAAGTAGAAAAGTGCTATAGATGTAAAGAAAAATTAGAGCAGGTTGAGGGGGATCAAGAGTTTTGGGGGAAGAAGTTCAGTTTGCAGTATTAAATGTGTTTCTTAGGCCACATTATAAGATTTGAGCAAAGACTTGGAAGAAAAGTGTTTGTTTAATGAATATCTGCAGGAAGAATGGTCTGGATAAAGAAAATAACTAGAGCAATGGCCCCAAGCAGTTCCGTGGAGCTGGAGTGGCGTCAGCAAGAAAGAGGGAGAGTAATGTAAAATGGGATGAGAGGAAGCAAGCCCCAGTTCATGTTGGTAATTTTAGGCTGTTGTAAGGATCTTGGCTTTTACTCTAACTGAAATGGAGAGTCATTGCTGAGTTTTAACAGTGATAGGACATGATCACAACTACATTTTATAGAATTGCTCTGTTTTGCTGCACTATGAGTAAATTGTAGGGGAGAAGGATATATGCTGGGAGATCTGCCATGATGATGAGAGAAAAAGGTGGTTTTGACTAGGATGGTAGCAGAGAGGTGAGAGGTGAGAGGTGGTTAGATCCTAGGTATTTGAAGGTGGAGCTGATGAGATTTGCAGATGGATTAAACATGGTTTTTGGCCTAAAGGATAGTGTTGTCATCAACTAGGGTCTAAAGGCTGTAGCTAGAACAGATTTGGGGAGAGAAGATCAGATTTGGACATATATTGGATTTGTGTATTAGACATGTACATGGCTTATGTCAGGTCATCAATTCAGGAGAGATATTTAACTTAGAAATATACATTTGCAAGTGTAAGCATATAGACACTATTTAAAGCCATGGAACAATGTGAGATCACCAAGGAATGGGGCCTAGATTGAAAAGAGGAGATCAAAGATTGAGTTCTGGGAATCATTCAAATTAAGAGGCTTAGGAGAAGAGGAAGAACCAGGAAAGGAGACAGAAGGAGGCATGAGGAGTAAAATAATGAGACTGTGGCCTGGAAATCAGGCGAAGGAAATGTCTCAAGGAAGAAAGAGTAATCAACTCTGGATTGCTGATAAGCCAAGTAGGACAGGGACTTGGAATTGACCAGTGGGTGTACTATTATGGAGCTGTGATCAAAGAGAGGAATTTGGCAGTGGTGGTAGTGGTGGTCCAGACTAGGGTGACATTAATAAAGTATAGGAAGGGAGGAATTAGACATAGAAAAGTCTGCTGAGGAGTTTTGCTGAAAAGGGAACAAAAAGATGAAAAAAAAGTCTTAAGATGTGAGAAAATATTATCATAATCAGCATATTATTTCCCATATGCCAATGGAAGGTCTAGCAAAGAGTGTTATAGGATTAACTGAGGGGCAGAATTTCTGGTGCTATGCCTTTGAGTAGGGATGAAAGATGGGAACTTGTATGAAATTCAGACTTTCACTGAGAAAAGAGCTTGGGAATTGAATGAATGACATCAGGCAGGAAGGCAGAGCATGCAAGTATATGTACTGGGGAATGTGAAGGGTAGATTCTTTGGAGTTTCTTCTCTGCTTCAGTTTTTTTTTCAGTGAAGGAAAAAAAATGTCATCAGCTGAGTCAAGACAGGGAAGAGGATGCGGAGGTCTGAAGAGTGAGAAGATGTGAAATACTTGTCTAGGAGAATAGACATGTGAATGGACTAGAGACATATTTAATGATTATATGACATCATTAAGGCTGTAGGCTATGAACAGCAATATAAAGTGAGACCAGTCAGCATGATGGGGTGTTTTTCTCTAGTCAGATTCAGCTGTACGTATGTGGGAGCAGAGGAGGAAGAAATCTAGTTTTAACCAGAATCAAGAGAGCGGCAAAGGAATTAAAGGTATATGCAAGAAAATAATTATAATGCCTGACCATGGAGGCTTTTTCTTTTAAATTTCAAGTTAAAAAAAATCAAACAGACTTCTTATTTTTGTAAACCAAGATAATATTCTCTGGAAATGGAATGATGAAAATAATGTGTTCATTCATGATAATGTACCAAATAAAAATCTAACTTGAAAATTTAAGTTCAAATGTATTTATGAAGTTTCTTCATCTCTTTTTTAGAACTTCAATGAGATATCACCATTGACATTTCAGCATTTGATTATTCTGCGTGTATTCTCTGAATGGAAGAATTATTGACTACCAAGGTAAGTAAAGTAATGAAATTTAAAAACAAAGTCTCTGACTGTCCAGTCATTTAAAGTATCTCTTCTGGATAAGATAATATTTAAGGAAACTACTGGAATAGGAGAGAATAAAAAATAACACATTGAAGAGCACTGAATTCACTTCTAAATCTCATTTTCAGAATGGTTATTAACTATATACATATATATCTGTTATTTATCTTATGATTGAAATTACACTGAAAATCTAGAAAAAAATGAAAACTGCATATCTGATGAAGTACTACATCACTCAGATAAGTACAAAATAGTTTTCAGTGATCCTGGTCCTAGGAGAGGTAACGCAAATGAATGTGTATATTCCTTTTGCAAATATACATTTTGTTGTCCATGAGGTATGGCCCATTATTTGAAGGAAAACATTTAATTTTTCTTTACTTTATTACATGTTACCTAATTGCTCCTTTCCCGTATGATTGGTTAGAAATTCTTTTCTATTTAAAGTAGCATACTTTGGGCACTAAACGAAGTCGATTTCAAAATAATTCTGTTGAATTGTCTCTTAATCTGACGTATATGAACATATTCATATTGTTGAAAAATGTTGCACTTGTGGGTGTGTACGTACACACAAACTTGTGGGTAGAGGTCTCTACCTTTTATAAGCTTCTCAAAGGGATATTTGATCCCCAATAAGAGTAGTGATAACTGATACATGATACACGATAAAGGGGACACATTTATTCCTATGCTCTAAAGAGGAGTAATTCTAGCTCATCCTTATATCCATTACACAGAGTAAAAATTTGTAGTAGTAGTTCTCTTTTGCATGTAATGAAACTGGGTTACAAAAGGGACAGGTAGATGTACCCAAATCACCCAAAAGGCAACAGTGTCAAACACAAAAGCCACATCTAAAAAATTCCCTTTCCAATGGACTAACCAGGAGCATGCAGTTTTTCAGCTGTGAGCAATTGGCTACTGATAACCTTGTTCATTAACAAATCAAGCAGCTGTTCAGATCTGCAGAAAAGCCCCCATGTTGTCCTTAAATACTCCAGTACAAAGTCAGTGTAAACCAATTAAGTTACACGATGGGAAAAGCATCAGATGTGTAACTGATGATTCACTTAACCTCATCCCACTCTTCTTTTAGCTTTCAATAATCATCAACCTCCAGAAAATGATAAGCTTTTACATCAAACATGAATAAATATTCCAGGGTGAATTCTACTGTTTAAAGAGAAACACACATTTTAGGAACTTTTAATTTTTTTTCTGTGTGGCTACCTAAACTTTAATCATTTTTTTTACTCTTAAAAAATACTTTAAAATAGTAACTGGAAGTAATATATGGCCCAAAAGATTTTACTATTATGTTAGGAAATGCTGTTTGCACTTAAAAAAATTGTCCCATTATCAACGGAAAAAATGGTGAAGATATCACTTTTCAGATTATAATATTGTAATGAACCAAACTATCAAGATGTACTTAGTTCATGTCAGATTTGTAAAAAGAAATCTAAATTAGGATTTAAGGGAGTGTGGCAAATTTAACACATAAAATTATACATATTATTTACATTTTTCACATAAATGGAATAAAGCATATGGTCTACTGTTAGTTAACAGTTACTAACCTTTTTAAGTTAACAGTTACTAACCTTTGTAACTGTTAGTATTTTAGAAATAATTCAGTTCAAAACTCATTATGCAAGAGTTGAAATGATTTTACCCATATCTTTATAATTGCTTACTTATTTAGTAGTATCAAAATTGTGGCCAGTATTAATCTTAAAATCACAGAAATTTTGGAACTTCAAAGGACTCGCAAGGTCCTTGGATCCAACTTCTTTATTTTACTTCCTCAATAAAAACTCATTAGGAGAATAATCCTATTTTTCACATTCATTTCTCAAAGAAACACAGATTTCTATGCTCTGTCACCCAGCCTCACTCTCTCAATGAAAGGAATGACCTTGAATTGAACTGTAGGAAGTAAATGGAATAAAAGTTTACTGAAAAAGTTTAGTAAGGATACAGAAGATTGATGCGTATATTTGTGTTGGACACCCTTCCTTGTGCTGCATATTCAAAGTGATAGGATCATGTTATTTATTATATTTTTCAGATCATTTGCAATGTTAATTTATATGAGTTTGATATCGCTTTTGTCTCTTAGTTGTGTGTTATTCTGAGAAATCCCTGGGGAAGCAAAGGATTTATATGCTTTGTGTACATGTTCTGCAGACTAAGCACTCTGGCATAATTATTTTTGGCACTCACTAACTGATTAAAACATCCAATTTAACTCATGATCAGTAAGATTAAACCTTTTTAATATACCTCAAAAGTAAATTATCATTTACTACTCAAACATCCCTTTCTGCACATGTCCCCAATAAAGCCATTATTTTTCCGTTAATGTACCTTTTAATGAGGATTCCCTTTTATTTCTTCCTTTGGGCAAAACTGCCTTACCCTTTACAGAGAGGTAGGAACAAAGATGAGATGGAGGCTGACTAGATAAGTACGTGGGTTTCTAATGTCATACCAATTACAAGTCTTTATTTTTGTTGTATTCCATAAGGAATTTTCTGTTCAAGAAAACATGTCCCTGATTTGAGTTTATTTGATGTATAGACAAATGGGAACAGTTAGAAGAAAATAATATTTGAAAAAAATCCTTTACCTGACTCGGGGAAAAAAACTGTCATCTTTTATTTAATTTTAAAGTAGTTATTTTTAAAAACTTAAGTGTTACATTTCAGTCTTGCAGTGAAACCCACTTAACAGAATACCCAAAACACTTTTCAATATTAGAATGATTTGAAGGGAAAAAATGTTCCCAAGAATTAAAAAAGCATAATATAATCCTAAATTAGAATAATTGTAATTGGCAAGTCCTCTAACCTGCTGAGGACCCTTGCAGTGGTTTATCACTGTATTGAGAGAGGAGGAAAATAAAATGTAATAGATAACATGCATTGGTTAAGCTAGGGCCTTGTGGAGCTTTGAAACAGTCACAGGTGTAAGCACCTCCCTCACATGCTGAGGGAGGTACGGGGGAACTCAGATTAGTAGAATCCTCCTGTGTGGATGCTAGAGCGTTACTGTGTACAAATGTCTTGATTACTGCCTTTTATGCATAGGATTAACATCAAATGAAACAAGAATTATGGAGTAAGGCTTTAGATAGAAAATAGGTCAAGTCAATGCAATAAATATCCTGTCAGAATTTTGATCCAGATTTACAAATACTTCACCAGATTGCTAATAAGCCTGTAGCCCCACATGTAAATATTTGAACAGTATGAAAAAGGCTTCTGAGTTAAACAAGACTACCATGCCCCAAATAGGTTGAACTACTGAAGTGTTGTCATAAGCCAGGCAGAAGGGACACTTTTCTGGAATACGTGGTAGACAGACCCAAAACACTGCCAAAACTTTTCCCCTAAATTGTCAGGAAATCAAAATCTCAAAATGGTCTAAATCTAGCCATTGGTTACACAAATTCTAAGAGCTTGAAGAAGCAAGCTTACAAAAACTTTGCATAGATATCCGATTCTTGGATCTATAATAAGTGTTGGAGTCTTCTGGAAATACCAAGGAAAAAATTGGTCACTCCTAAAAATATCTTTAAAATGACCATATCCATAGGGTGGTCTCCACTCCAAGATATATTGTATACATGGGAATATCTTAAGGATCCACTAATAAATGTGATTTTTTTTTTATTAGGTGTGTTTGTGCCAGCACTCTAGACCTTAGGGGCCACACATTAGCATAAGTTCAGTGAGCATACATTTTCTCCATCTCCCCATTCCACATAAAATTAGAGAATAATTTACTGTTGAGGTATAAGATATGAATCCCTTTGTTAGTGTATTAGTTTCAACAGTTATTAAAACTTGTGTAAGACCTATCACATTTTCATTGTACCGTTGAATGTAATATATGGTCTTTCTTCATTTTTTTTCCCTTTAACTTTTTGGCCAAATAAGAGACTAAAGGCTTCAAGTAAAACATTTTTTTAAAAAGTGAAAACGATAGTAATAAATGTTCTATTTTCTTTCTTCTGGTTCTACCAGCTATTCTACCAAATATCTAATATATTTACTTGATGCTAATTGATGAAATAATAATGGGCATCCTTTCCAAACAAGAAGTAAGTTCAACTACTGATTATACCATCTGTAAAAAGGCAGTATTCTATCACTTTCCAAGAGTGTGATTTATTTTTAACTAAGAATGAAAACTTAACTTTGAAAATGGGAGGGGTAAGTTTGTTGTGCTTAAACTTTCATAAATTGGCAACTTTTGGCACAGGTGCCAAAGATAGAACAAGAATAAATGTCTCAAGCCTTGGTTATTAGAGTTTGATCATAAGCGTTGTGGTGTAGAATTCATGGATTATTCATGTGTAATTACAGATAGCTATTGTGCTCCTTTAAATCATCCCTATGGCCCATTATGGTCCATAACAACTGAAATAGCAATTGTCATAGTAAGGTTTGGGCTCTGTCACAGAGTGTGGACTATAATCAATAATGATGAATGGTAAAATTTTACATCAAGCAGTCTAAAGTCTGGTTGGCTCCCTCCATAAATCTGTACAAACACCAAGCAGAGCAGCTGCAGGGTCTGGAAATTTAAAAGCCAACACTCGCCTTACCCCCTACACGCATTTACCTCTGTAAAAGTTAAAAAAAAAATAGGGAGGAAAGAAAAAAGGAAATGCTCAATATATCAATTCTAATAATCCACACGCTGTTTGAAGAATTTCCCTCTATTTAAATGGGAGTGAACCCTAGGTTGTTTTCAAGGTCAATTTCAGGTGAAAAGGGGGTCATCTAGAGGTCACTCAGGCTCCCATGCAGGTCAATAACGCCTCTTCACTTCCACAGCAGACAAGCCGCTCACACCCAATCAATCCACCAACGCTGCTGCTGCACCCAGCGTAATGAACAGTGAATAAATGTAGCCTATCATCACAAAACATGCTTTTTAAGTACCTTTCC